TTTATTTATTTATTTATTTATTTATTTATTTATTTATTTATTTATTTATTTATTTATTTATTTATTTTTGTGGTACGCGGGCCTCTCACTGTTGTGGCCTCTCGTTGCGGAGCACAGGCTCCAGATGCGCAGGCTCAGTAGTTGTGGCTCACGGGCCTAGTTGCTCCGCGGCATGTGGGCTCTTCCCAGACCAGGGCTCGAAAGAGTGTTCTTATGTTTTCTTCTAGGAGTTTTATGGTTTCCAGTTTTACATTTAGGTCTTTAATCCACTTTGAGTTGATTTTTGTATATTGTGTTAGAGAATGCTCTAATTTCATTCTTTTACATGTAGCTGTCCCGTTTTCCCAGCAGCATTTATTGATGCTCCATTTTATATTCTTGCCTCGTTTGTCATGGTTTAATTGACCATAGTGTGTGGGTTTATTTCTGGATTCTCTGTTCTGTTCCATTGATCTCTGTGTCTGTTTCTGTGCCAGTACTATGCTGTTTTGATTACTGTAGCTTTGTTTACTGAAAATTTTGAATCACTTGCCCCTAAGTATGCTAATTCTTTCTTCTCCTTGATTAATTCTGCTTCTGAACCCCACTAATTAATTTTTCAGTTCAGTTATTGTATTCTCTAGCTCCAGTGTTTCTACTTGGTTCTTTTGCTTGTTTGTTTCTCTTTGTTGATATTCTAATTTTGTTCATGTATAATTTCCCTGGTTTCATTTGGTTGTCTACCCACGTTCTCTGGTAACTCACTGAGCTTTTTAAAGATGATTATTTTTAATTCTCTGTAAGACAGTTCACAGATTTCCATTTCTACCATGTTGGTTACTGGAGATTTGTTTTCTTACTTTGATTGTGCTGTGTTTTCTTGATTATTCATGTTCCTTGTAGGTTTGCTTTGTTCTGTACATTTGAACAAGTAGCTACCTCTTCCAGTCTTTATGGGCTGGATTTGACTTAGAGAGATCTTCACCAGCCAGCAATTCTCAACTTGAGGCAAGAGAGAAGCCAACCCTTCAGGGAGCCCTAGTTGAGTCTCCAGATATATGACTATAACACATGAGTGACTGTAGACAAGACAGCAGAAGATCCTAGCTGGGTCCAATCCAGTCTGCAGAACTGTGAGCAAATGTATGATTGTTGGTTGTTATTTTAAGTCACTAAGTTTTGGAATTGTTACATGACAAGAGATAATCAAAATAAGCAGTGACCGACCATATTTCTACTTGTTAATTAGGGCCAACCTCAGTTATCATCATAATCTTCTTTTTGCCTATTTGTCTAGTGGTCAGAGAGGGAACCCCAGAAGGCTAGGGGACAGTCTAGCTCCAGTTATATGGAACTACTGTGTCTCCAGCTGTAGAAGTTCCCTTGGGTAGTAAGAGTTCTAAATCAACAGGCTCCCTGAAACAAGAATTTGGAGATTGGGTAATGAGATGCAATGGAAGGAAGTACACCTCTGTTTTCAATTCTTTGTTCCTGGACTTTTGTCTTCCAACTACAGACAGTAGGTTTGGGGCATATGTCACATTTGGCAAAACAGCTTTCCAACGTCAGATGGTGGCTTCTCTCATCGAAGACCATGGCTTAGTTTTCCTTAGGATATACCTAGGATGTTTTTTAGGGATTATACAGGTGTGTGGGATATAAATCATGGGAAGAGAATTCCTTGGTTAACAGCAAGGTATTGAGGTTCCATTAATGTCTCTGATTCTTCACTCCTCTCTGTCATGTGGCTTTAACTCCTTTCCTAAAGGTGGAGTATATTCCCCACCCCAAGGGGCTTGCTTTGGCCAACAGAATGAGATGAAAGTGACAGTATACTAGTTCCAAGTCTAGGCTGCAAGAGGCCGTGGGTATTTTCACTTGTTCTCTTGCATTTTGCCGCCACCATAAGGAGGTGGTCCACTAGTCTCAGGAGGACGGGAGTTGCTTGAGTCTCCCAACCCCAGCTATTGCTAGCCGACGTCAGCTGACAGCCAGCCAATCCCCAGGCACATGAACAAGCCCAGCCAAGGTAAGCAGAGCCCTCTCACCGACCTGATCCTCGATTTGCGAGAAATAAACATTTATTGGGTGTCATCGAGGTTTTGTGGGTGCTTGTCATGAGCATCATTCTGATGGATGACTGCTACATATGGTGCCTAAGTGCTGTATGAAACACACAGGAAGCCCACAGATGTTGAGAAGAGGCTGGTGGGGAGGGAAAGGAAAATCTAAATCCAGAACACATCACTGTTCCATTGAGGATAAAACATTGCCCTCTCTGTGATGAAAGGGGCTTGGTGTGATCAACCTACCCCCAGATGTCTGGCTGTTTGGAGGGTGGACATAGTACCAGTCCTGGCTTCATCCTCACTCATGCCTTCCCAGGGGAGGAATGAGTTAAACCAAGTGAAGAATTAGGAAGGTACAACTAGGAGATGTAGAGCCCAGTTCTTGGGAGCTGGCTTGCCTGTAGACAGCACATTACATCTTAATTGCTGTTCACCTTGCAATGCTCCCAACCCCAAGGATGAGTGTTTGTTTAGGTGCAACATCCACTGGTCCTTGGAAGGTTTGTTTATCAACAAATGGATTATCTCCATAAGGCACAGGTGTTATGTTTAACAGAGTCCTTCCTCAAGGGTCCCTGGACTCTAGTGACATTGTCTATAAACAGACTCAAGGACGTTGTGACTCCAGTATTGGTGGCCCTAGTCAGCCTCTTTTGGACCTAGACTTTGGCTTATTTTATTATATAAATCCTTTGTGGGGGCATCACATCCATGAATCTGTGTCAGGACTCCCATCCCCCCCAGGATCCGATTACACCAGCCATGCTTCCTCTGAGAAGCGGCCCCCTTTTCAATACTCAGTTTCTTCCCATTGCCAAGAACATCAGAGAGCATTTCAACGGCTGCCCCTCCCACGGGCAGCCCCCACGAGTTCCTCTGTGTGGGATGGAAGTGGTGAATGAGGAGTGTTTTCAAGGGTTTGGAGCTTCAGGGTGGTCTCAGTGTTTCCGAGTCTCCTAGACCCACCATTCTGATTGCCAGGATCGTGTTTCCCTAGGGCTGCCCAAGCTTTTCACATTGGGAATAGGGCAAGGCTATGGGTTTAACTGACCAAAGTCAGAGCCCTGCAGGTTAAAGGTAGAAACCCACCTGTACCTCTGATCTCGACACTCTTCATAGTCTTTTTTTTAAATTGGAGTAAAATCGCTTTACAGTATTGTTAGTTTCTGCTGTAGAACAAAGTGAATCAGCTATATGCATACATATATCCCCTCTGTCTTGAGCCTCCCACCCCCACCCCCCACCCCCAATCCCACCTCTCTAGGTCACCACAGAGCACGGAGCTGAGCTCCCTGACGACATCCTTCATAGTCTTTGGATTTGTTTGTGACAGCTGCTATCAAGCCCTTCACCCCAGGAAGCAGGTGACTCCAGATGACCGACCATGGGCAGTACTTAAATATTTTAAGGCCACATGCCTTGGTCTTTGAGTTTCCCATTCCAAGGCCCAATACTGAATGTTTCCAAGTATCCCAATTTCCCTCAGGGTTTATTATCTCCAACCCATTTCTGCATCCATTTCTGTATCAGTTAGGACTCTTTGGGGTTATAAATAACTATCTATGGCCAAGTAAAGCAAGTAAGGAATAGCCTGGAAGGATAATGGGTACTCAGAGAATCAAAGGAAGAACAATCAGGCCTCAGGAAGGACAGTTACCAGAACAGCTCTTGGCTATCTCTGTAGCAGGAACTCATGTATGGTCAGTGCTGCCACTGGGATGACTTCTGTGTGCCCTTCTGCTCAGGGAGCCTGATTGGCACAGGGCTCAGCCTTTGGACAGGGAAGGGGCAGGGCACTGTGGCATTCCCACAAGACTCGGTGGTTCCCAGAAAGGGGAAATGATTTGGGGCTGCTGAAAACAGCAAAACACTACACTAACAACAAAGCCAGCTCAAGTGCAAGGACGATTATTGTAATGAGGCAGGACTTCTTAGGGAACCCAAAGGTAGGCAGTTCAGCCAGGATCCCCAAGGCACTGGGGTGGGTGAAGCACCAGGAACCAAGTTTCCCTCTGGCACGTGGCCTTGTTCACCAACACACCCAGCCCCAGCCTGTGTGACCAGGCCCTCAGTCCGAGTCTGACTGGACACGGGGAACCCATGGGTACCAATCAGCTGAGGCCAGGGAAGGGTCAAACCTCAGGGAATAAACATGGCAGGGGCATAGTTACCCCTGCAAGTGAGGTGCGGGTGGAGAAAAGAATTCCCTAAATGCCCGTCAAGCAACTCCAACGACCCTCACTTCCTTCCCTTCCTAGACTTCCTTTCGTAGTCTTAAAAGAGAATTGACCCTCGCACCGTGACCGACGCTGGTGCCCCTTATCGTAGAAGGATCACCGACGCTGTGACCACCCTGGAGTCAGTCAGGCACCACCAGGGGTAACCATCTAACCTCACGGAAGAGTGAGGGACGGACACTTTAAAGAGACTCCACAACAGCAACGTGTTTTCTATGTTACAGGATCATTCTTGTTTTTGAGAAAATATTATATAGGATTAAAATTTTAAATGCAGACTCAAGTAACTGAAGCATACTTGTTGCGGTTATTATCAAGTTTAAAACACTATTGGAGGGGCTTCCCTGGTGGCGCAGTGGTTGAGAGTCCACCTGCCGATGCAGGGGACACAGGTTCGTGCCCCGGTCTGGGAAGATCCTACATGCCGCGGAGCAGCTGGGTCTGTGAGCCATGGCCGCTGAGCCTGCACGTCCGGAGCCTGTGCTCCGCAACGGGAGAGGCCACAACAGTGAGAGGCCCGCGTACCGCAGAAAAAAAAAAAAACACTATTGGAATATATGTTTTAATTTTATTCGTGCAGTTAAAAATGTGGGATCGTGTAGTACTAAAAGATCCCTTAGAAGTAACTCTTGATATATGCAATAATTAAAACTGGAATAAGATTTGTAAACTAACCCTAAAGGCCTAAGGAGACGCTAAGTTTTGGGATTTTTAACCACCCCAAACACTTAAAATGGACAAAAGAAGAGACTGAGAAGTATCTTATTTTTAACTTTATTTTTATTGTTGACACTATTACAGATAGATAGAACGACCACAACCATATTAACAAACCAAAAACCTGTGCACAGAAACAAGATGAAGAAAATATATGAAGATGTTAACCACAGTCTTTGGATGATGATAATATGGGCGAGTTTCTCTTCTACACTTCTGTAACTTCCAAGTCTCTGTAATGAACACATACCGTGTTTATAATGGAAATACATGTAATAAAGGTAGGTTCCCAAAACACTGTGAGAAAGCCTGTCCCAGGTAACCGAGACAAAATACTTAACTGTAATCCCACAATGACCACACACCACTTCCTCACTGCTTTCTGTGTCTCTTCCCATCTTTGACCCTCTGCATACTCATCACAAACACCGCAGTCATCAGACTGTGCACAGGTCAAGGTGTCAACAGCAATGGTTGTTGGGTGTCGGGAATATGGATGAATTTCTTTTCTTTTGCTTTGCTGAATCTCCCCGAAGTCTGCCATAAGTATGTACTATATTTGTAATGGAAAAATACATACGTGAGATTTAGTACCAAAACACCAAAGATCATTCAAGGAATCTGAGACAAAACGTTTAACCGTAATCCCATAACGACAATACTCTTTTAATTATTTTCCATATTTTTTTCATTTTAGACTTTATGCACGTGTACTCAACACTGTCATAATCACAAGCTTGTGCACTGACATGAGATGGAGAAAACAGATCAAGATGTGAACTGTAGTTATTGGGTGTTGGGGATATGGGCGACTTTTCTAATTTATTTTGTGTTTTCCAATTATTCCTCTGGGTACGTATTATGCTTGTAATGGAAACAAACATAATAAGCTTTGTTATCAGGACACTACTGTAGAGAACATCTGAAAACATTAAGATGAAAGTGTTTAACCATAATTCCACAAAGGTAACAGTTATTCTGAGTACACATTTGACACAGTTATCATCATAAACCTGTGCACAGAAACGAGGATGAACAATACAGTGAGGAGTATATCTGTCTTTGGATGGGGGGTATATGGATTTTTTCCCTCCACTTTTCTGTATTTTCCAAGTGCCTGATAATGAGTTCAAATTATGTTCACAATGGAAACGTGATTATAAACTTTTTAGTAACACTACGAAGAAGAACATTCAAGGAATTTAAGAAAATAATGCTCGACTATAAGCCTACAACACCACCACCACGACAGCTTTTGACTATAAGCATACATTTTTAAACAGTTATAACTGTAGTATAAATATAATTCTGTGTCCTGTTTTTTCCACTTAGTATTCCGTAAATATATTTCCATGTTGCTACATAACTCTCCATGATTATCATTTTTAAACAGCTGCATTAGGAGTCCACCGACAAGTTCCCTTAATTGTCCTCCTATTTTTGGCATTAAGTTGTTCCTAATGTTTCACTAAGCAAAGGCTGGAACGGACACCCTGACATTTGGCAAGTGGCTTTCTGAAGGGTTCTACCAGTTAATACTGCCAACAGTGGTGAACACAGGTTCACCCCACCGATGCTGATGCCGGCCCCCACCTCAGGGTCCTCCTCTGAGGCCGTGCCTCACTGTCCCTCAGCTCTCTCAGGTGTCCAACCTCGGGTCTTCACATGCAGCTGGCCCTCGCCTACACCATGCCATCAAAACGGCCCCTTCTTCTCAGAGGCCCAGGATACCCTGCTCATTCATTCTTCCCATCCTGGCCTTCCCATCCCCGCTCCTGATGTTGCTTCCAACTGCTTCCTCACCCTCCGAGGTCTGGAGACGTTATCAGGACTCCCCCTTCTTTGGCTTACTCTTTTCTGCTTCCTGCTCTCACCCTACCAACCTCCTTCGACTTTGGCATTCCTTCCAGCTGCGATATGCTCTCCCCGAGCCCTAACCGTGCGGACCTAGGAGAGGGAGATTTAAACACATTTCCCCAGCAGGTACTTTAACTTTGCTCGCCCAAATAATCTAGCTCTTATCTTCTGCTCCCTTAATCTACCAGATCCTCTTTAAAATTTTTTTTTAATTTTAATTTTTTTTTTTTTCCAGCCAACTCAAAGCCAAAAAGAGTTCTTAATAGTCATTACGCAAGGGGTGGGGAAGCAAAGGGAGCACAGGTGGTCCACAGAACAGGACACAGGAAACCTCGAGCTACGAGGTCGACTTGTGATCACATGGGCAACCGAGGCGACTAGACAGACGTGACGCTCTAAAGGATAGGTGACAACTGCTTATTTAGGGGGGCACTCTTTAAGAGGAAGGGACAGATGGCAACGAAACAAATTAAGGCTGCTAGGGAACCTGAGTCCACGTTAAGCTCGAGTTGACTGTAAAGAAAGCTTTTTTTTTTCAATGCAAGTTAGACACGGGGTTTAGGGTCAGACAGGTAAAGACGAGAATTAAGTTTCACGCTAGAAAGCTCTAAGGATACTCGCCCCTGGGCGCCCAGGGTGCAAAAACTGAGTTGTAGCGGCACACGCGGACGAAGCCCCGTTGCTACTTGTCGCTTAAGGCAGGGAGCGCGCAAAGGGAGTGATGAGGCAGCAGCCCCGTCCTAACTTACACGAGAGCCCCCACGGTTCTCAACCTCATCAGGCACGCGCGCGATCTAGGGATGGCTGCAACCACTCTTGAAAGGCAAAGACGCAAGATGCACAGGGAGAAGCTTCAGCTTTTGTGAATTCACTATCCTACAGACATCAAGTTGGTTTAAAAACAAATAACAAAACTTGGAACTATTTTTTGCATGAGAACCACTGCAAAGTACAAGGTGGCAACCAATCAATTTGGGGTTACAAAAGGCCAATCCACGTATCGTAAAGGCTTACACAGCATTAGGTTCCAAAGTGTTAGTGTAGACGAAATGGCTGAAAAGGAAGCTCCAAGTACTTCCCCTTTCAAACAGCAAAGCGGAAAAGACATTTTATCTTTCATGCCTACACCTTTACGGGAATATTCAAGAGTAAGGAACAACACAGTCAATTACTCAAAAAAATATGGATAGGATTCAAATAACGCACAATAAATCTTTCTAAGGATCTAAGATGCTTACAAATATATTCTAATTTGTTGCTCTCTTCCTCCTCCAAAAAAAAAAAAAAAAAGAAAAAAAAATCAAAGAGTACCAGGTAAGGAAGGTACCTCTGCAAGTGAACTGTAACTGGATACCATATTAAGTCCCAATATGAGTACTGTTTGCTATGATTTGCTATTCTATATACATCTCAGGAAACATTCATTATATATAGGTTCCAGGAGTGTCATTTACAGATGTGGGCCATTTCTGTAGCCTTGAAAACCCCTCCAGCTTTCCATCAATGCAGTTACTCGGGTGGAAGGTAAGACGTGTGCTATGGCTTTCCCACATGCATACGCCGATGTTTGATGGGGAAGAGCTAAGTCCGAAGGAGTCTCCACCTTCAGTTTCTTTCCAGGCTGAGTTGTCTGATGTTCAAAGTCAGGTGTGTATACGCCAAGGGAAGCCTCCTTCCGACATCATCGTGGGTTGGTTCCAATTATCTGTAGTTTAGTAAGGGTCCAGTCCTAGTGAAGGTTTTCCAACCTTGACACCCGAGTCCTCAGCCGGTGTGGGTGTTCTGGTGCCTGGCCAGGGACAGGCGGTCAGTGAACACCTGCCCACAGACGTCACACTTGAAGTACTTGTCATCAGCCCTGCCGCTGTCATTGCTGCTGGTGCTGGCGTGCTCGGTGTAGTGGGAGCTTTCCCCGTAGACGCTTCCAGGCTCGAATATTATCACCCTGGCATGGGTTTTCAGGTGCTCACCATAGGCCGAGTTGGAGGTGAAGGTCTCGCCACACTCCCTGCAGTCGTAGTAGGGCTCTTCCACTTGGATCTCCTGGTCGTCACCTTCCTCTTCTGGGTCCTCGATCCCTGCACCGTCCGGCTCATCCGCATCTCCCTCTGGCTCTTCGGCTCTTTCCTCTGGGTCTTCGATCCCTGCCCCGTCTGGTTCATCAGCATCCCCGTTGGGCTGTTCGGCCTCCCCGTTGGGCTGTTCGGCCTCCCCGTTGGGCTCGGCGGCCTCCCCCTCCGGCCCCTCGGCCTCCCCGTTGGGCTCGGCGGCCTCCACGTTGGGCTCGGCAGCCTCCACCTCCGGCTCTGCGGCCTCCACCTCCGGCTCTGCGGCCTCCACATTTGATCCCTGGATCCGCAGAACTTCCCGTGGAACGAGGACGTTGGCTTCAACTTCCTGGGCGGCTGCTGCTGCTTCCTCTTCCTCGAGGTGCAGCTTCTGATGCTTCGTGAGGACTGTGTTGTGGATGAAGGACTTGCCACAGTCCTTGCACTCATAGAAGGGTGAATCTCTCTTGGGGGGCTCGGTGAGGAAGGAGGTATGGACGAAGGTGGCCCCATAGTCGTAGGGCTTGTCCTTCTCGTGAATCCTCATGTGCTCCCGGAGGTCGGCCTGGCTGGGGAAGGATTCTCCACAGGTCGCGCACTCATAGTGCTTGTCCTTGGCCTGGTCTCTCTGAAGGTCTGTGGGGGCCGAGCCTGGGCTGACCGCATCTGTGCTTCCCTGGCCCTGCTCCAGCAGGCTGTCTCCAGCGTGGACTCTCATGTGTTCGTTAAGGACAGAGCCGTGGATGAAGTCTTGTCCGCACACTTGGCATTGCAGGGACGTCCCAGCAGGAGGACTCTTCTGTGGGGCCTGAGGCCGCTGCGGGCTAATGACCAAGGGCTGCATAAAGGGTTCATCATACCTCCTGTGGCCGTAAAACTGGTCTTGCTCATGGATCTTCTGATGCTCGAAAAGGAATGAGCTATGAACGAAGGATTCCCCACATGCCGGGCACTCGTAAAGCTGCTCTCCAATGTAATCTTTCTGATACTCGCTGACAGAAGGGGTGTGCGTCACAGAATGCGCGTACTCGCGGCTGTCGACGAGGTACTCTCTGCCGTGCACCTTCTGATGGTCCTTGAGGTCTGTGCGATCCACGAAGCCCAGCCCACAGTCCTTACACCCATAGATGGTGTCTTCAGGCTCGTCTGGCTCGTCTGGCCCTTCCTGCCGAGGCTCTTCCTGCCGAGGTCCATCAAGGCCCACACCCTGAATCACAGAGTCTCCAAACAGCTCCCCACCATGGAATTTCTCTCGGGCATAGATTTTCTGATGTATGCCAAGGTCTTCAACAGTGGCAAAACACTCCCCACACTCCTTACATTCATTGCGGACTGGCTGTTCAGCGTAACTGATCTGAGCTGGTGGTTCAGCGTAACTGGTCTGAGCTGGTGGTTCAGCGTAACTGGTCTGAGCTGGTGGTTCAGGGTAACTGGTCTGAGCTGGTGGTTCAGCGTAACTGGTCTGAGCTGGTGGTTCAGCGTAACTGGTCTGAGCTGGTGGTTCAGCGTAACTGGTTTGAGCTGGTGGCTCAGCGTAACTGGTCTGAGCTGGTGGTTCAGCGTAACTGGTCTGAGCTGGCTCTTCAGCATAACTGGTCTGAGCTGGCTCTTCAGCGTAACTCATCTGTGCTGACTGGCCCGCATAACTGGTCTGAGGATCCGTGGAGGCTATGCTGCGAATGACAGACCGTATGTAGTTTTCACTTCCAGAGGGCTTCTTTCTATCGTGGATCTTCTGATGCTCAGTGAGGTCGGAGCTATGAACAAAGGACTCTCCACACTCCGGACATTCGTAAAACTTCTCTCTCGGGTGAAACGTTTGAGGTTCACCAAAACGCAGGGGGTGGATTACAGAGGTCTCATAAATCCTACGCTCGATGTTCTTCTTCTTAGCACGAGCCTTCTGATGCTCGCGCACATCTGACTTGGGAACAGATGGTTCACCATCCTTCTTCCATCCACTGGGGCCCTCCCCAGCGAGACTGTCCTGAGTTACGGTGTGGGATGCACCGTGCACAAAAGAGCCCTTGAAGATGTTGTTCTTACCCCCTGCATAGGGGCTCTCTAGGGCAAGGGTCTTCTGCGGCTGGCCACAAGGGTCTGAGAGGTAAGCGGAGGACTCCTGCTGCTCGTCACAGCCAAGGAGCTCATTTCCACCGCGACCGCGGGGAGGCCTGAAAGCAGCTAGGCTGTGGATGACGGACCTCTCATACCCCTTTCTTTCAGAGGTACTCTCCCCAGCATGGACTTTCCAGTGTTCAGTGGCACCCGAGCTCTGAACGGTCGCCTCTGCTATCACTCTCGGTTTGCTGTGACTTCTGTGAGCCCCAGGGAAGGCTGAGCTGTGAATCAAAGACCTCTCATAGGGGTTCCTCTCGTAGGACAGGGCTTCCCGGCTGTCATCAGGATTGGAGCTGACAGTGAATGCCTTCTCGTCTTCCTCGTCCTCAGGTGGCCTTGTTATAGTGTGACTCTTCTGAGATTCGGGGAAGGACACACTGTGAATGACAGACTTCTCGTACCCCCGGCCTTCAAAGAGGTTCTTCCGAGAATGAATTTTCTGATGCTCGATGAGGTCTGAGTTTTGCCTAAAGGCATCCCCACCATCTTGGAAGTCGTAGGCCTTCTCCGTTGGGTAGGTTTTCTGGCGTCTTTTAAGGGACTGACCAGGAATGAAGGTTTCCTCACACACTTTGCCCTTGTTTTCAAATGGGTTTCCTCGGGTGTGGATCTTGTGGTGCTCTTTCAGGGATGCGCTGTGATGAAAGGTCTCCCCGCACACCTTGCACTCGTACATTTTCTCTTTCCCATACATCTTCTGAAGCTCGTTAAGCGCTGGGCTGGGTTTGAAGGCTTCCCCACGCTCACTACCTTTGTCATCTCGGCCATGGGTTTTCTGGTGCTCGATCAGGGCAGAACTATGAAGGAAGGTTTCCTTGCACACCCTGCATTCATAGAATTTGTCCTTCCCGTATATCTTCTGGAGCTCCCTGAAGGTTGGGCTGGGCATGAAGGGCTCCTCGTACTCCTCGTCCTTACACCCCGCAAGGCAATCTCTAGCGTGAATTTTCCGATGCTCGGCCAGGGCGGCGCTCTTATTGAAGGGTTCCCCACACTCCTTACATTCAAAGCGTTTCCCTCCGGCCTGCCTTTTCTGAACCTCACTGACGGCCACACTATGAAGAAAGGACTCGCCGTACTCATACAGATTCTCCCTGGTGTGCGTGATCTGATGCTCCACAAACCCCGAAATCACGCTGAAGGACCTCCCGCACTCATCACACACATAGGGCGTCGCCCCAAAGTCGAAGGGCTGCAACTGGGGGACGGGCGGCGCGCTAAGGCTGCTCCCGCTAGCGGCCTTCCTCACCTCGCTGCGCTCAAAGGGCCGCTTCCTTGCACCACCTCTCCGACCGTGCATGGAGCCCTTCCCATCTGTGTCAAAATGATAGCGCCTTTTTCTCTCAAGAACTCTCTTTCTGGAAACAAGGTTTGAGTTCAAATTAAAGCCTCCTCCCCCAAAGGCATTCCCTTCATGGCCCCTCTCCTGAATCACCGACTCCCTCTTGTTGAATGGAACTTCCTTCCAGTCACTGTCTGGCCTCCTGGGGAACCTCTGCAGCCGATCGCTAGGTTCCCTTGCCCTTCCCGACTTGGAGTTGCGCGAAACGTCCTTGATGAACTTTTCCATTATCACCCCGTGGGAAGATTCATCTTCACAGATCCCCCGCCGATGGGCTGACTTTTTGGTTTCAGGCATAGTTTTCAGACCTGAAAAGAAATCCCAAATGTAAATGCTCCCTCGTCCCCGTACTTGTGCAAAGTAACACTGGGACCTCCGTGATGGTGGTGTGAAGATAAACTGTACAATGCTCGTGTCTTTGTGCATCAGTTGTGTATCATCATGTGTCAGTGTGTGCGGACGGCTCCCATCTCACTGGTGCAAGCGCCACTCCACGGGGCCTTGCGCGCTCACCTCGACTGGTGCTCGGGTAGGCACTTCTCTTTGACCGTGACGAGTGGCCCTGGGTCATGTGCGAGTGGCCGTCGTCCTCGGCAAGCTGAACCCCTGTCCACAGGAAGAACACAACATCTCACCCTCGAGTTGGGGACCAAGGCTCATCACCATAAATGATGTCTGTCTTTCTCTCAGCCACGAAGTGTGAAGGGGCCCATATCCAAGCCCTACCATGTCTTCTGTCTGCAGTCTCATTTCCTTATTATTCATTCCTTAGCCTCTGCTGGTCTGAATTTTAGTTAATTCTCCTGACTCCACCTAGAAGTTTGTACAGAGACCTCCGAGTGCCTTCTAAATTTAGTGCGTTCTTTTCAGTCTTCCCCTTCTCGTAACCACCTCCTCAGTCCTGACATCCTTTCACTGGGCTTCCTGGCTCTCCTCCTGCTCGTGCCTGTTTTCCCCACCTGGTCTCCAAACACGGGAGCTCCTCAAGGCTCCACTGCCCACACAACACTCCTGCAGAGCCAACCGCCTACTAGGACCTGAGCCAGATGTCATCCGGGGGAATCCAAACTGGAACTTGGAACCCCATCCGAAATGAGTATTTAAATTTCCAGGGTCAGCACTCTTGGGGGCAAGAGTTGTCTCCTGGGCTCCCTGACCCCACACTATACACTCTTCCCCCAAAGCCAGAGGATTCGTAAAACACAGCCTCATCGTTTATGCCTCTGCTGGGAGCCGCTTGAGGGCCTCTGACCCCTCGAGTCCACACACACTGCGGACCCTGACTCCGTGCAGCAGCCTGAGGGGCCAGGCCGGGAGAGCAGCGCTCACCCAGCGAGAGCAGCTTCCGGTAGTTCTCCATGTTGTCCTGAACCGGGTTCTGGGGCTTCCGGTCCTCGGTGAGGGCCACCATATCCTGGTACGACACCGCATCCTGCAACAGCAAATGCACACCTCTCCTCAGTGGAGTCCACTCTCGTGGACGACAAGGACAGGACAACGCTTGGCGGCATGGGAGCCACACACACACGCGCACACGGTGTGCAGCCTTGCCCTCATGCAGCTTATCATTTGTTTGGAGAGAAACAATCAGAGAACAGTAAACAACAAAGTGGGGTGCAGAGAGTCAGCGCTAAGCGGCTTTAGCGGGGGGACAGCTCAGGGTGGGCTGGGACGGTGAGCAAAGACCGCAGAGGCCGTGGGTGGGGTGGTGAGTGGTGGTGGGACTCTGGCCCGGACAGGGGTGGGAAGCTTCAACAGGCTCAGTGTCAACTGCACACAGCGTTTCCAGACACCTGGTCAGCAGAGTGACCGGCTTCCATCCCCAGGCCCGCTGTGTCCTGTGTCCGCCTCCGCCGTACACTGTGGGCCCTTCTGGGTATGGACAAGTTCTGAAGAACCCGGGGGTGACCTTAAGCACAGAGCACCTTCCTCTCCCAGCTGCCTTTTCTGCTTTGACACACATTCCCTTGCAAAGCATCTTAGGAGTCCCTACATCACGCGGGACAGCCTCCTGCACAGGACCTCACAGGACCTCTTCTCACTGCTGCACTAAAACGTCACTAGTTTCGGGGAGTCGTGGTCCCAGGGAGCCTGGAGACAGACTCAAGGAGCGAGGTGGAGCCGTGGGAAGCCCGCAGGCTGTGGGGCCAGAGAAGACTCCAGGGTCAAAGGAGCTTATGCACCGTTTACGACCGAGCAACCCTGGGAGCAGACGTCTTTCCAAACCTCAGGTCCTTCATCTGTGAAATGGAGAGAAGGGCATCGGCCTGCCCTGTAGCACTGTGGGAGTGGATGTCCTGCGATGTGATTTGTTGTTTAAGCATGGAGAAAAAGGTAAATTGTTGTCACTACTGAACTATTATGTCAAGATATTTTGATATTAAATTTGCTACAGTTCTGGAAAGTGGCACAGATATTACAGCCATGCATAAATGCACACACACACATACAAAAAAAGACACAATCAGGTGCATCGCCTACTGAAAAAAATAAACAGGCACAGGCACTGGGGTCTATGAGGAAAGCCTCATTTGTAAGACAACTGCCCATGTGCAGTGATTAAAAAGCAAAAGGCCACCACCAACACTAAGCAGAACTTCAAAAACGAACTCTTACCAGGCCAGGCCTTAGGATTTTTAGGACAACACACTACAAAAGATCAGGAAGCACTCACTGCAAAATCGGCTGGGACCACCACCGGCCACCCTTTCTGGTGGGAGCCTGTCTCCTCCTGTCAGAGGGCGGCTCCCCAGAGCGGGCACCCCGCTGGGCTCGGGGCCGATAGTGCCTCCATCCTAAGGCCTCAGCCCTGGATTATTGCAAAGCGGGAGAAGCCCGCTGGGAGCACAGTTGTATTTGTGGTGGGAGAGGGAGGGAACCAGAACTCCTAACTTGCGGGCTGCCAGAGAGCAGATGAGGTCAAGACCCCGGGGGGCTGAGGGTGCCCGAAGGGCACCAGCCCTGGTGCTAACAGACGCCAAAGGGCGATGGCAAAGGGAAGGGGCGTTGCTCATATATTTCTCTCCGCTTGCCTAATCTGAGTAACATAAATGTAATGTATGTTAAATTTTGGACTACGTTGTTGCTAGGAAAGAAGAATGCTGCTTTGACTTAAATTAAGTTGACCTATTCAAGTGGGTAGCCCTAAGCAGCTGTTCTCTTTGTATCTGTGATCAACCACGGATCTAAGGTGGCACAGGCCACTGCCACGTTCCCTGTTACAGATGCTGTCCGGAGAACAGCACCCACACTGCTGCATCCTCACATGACCTACACGCATGAACAATGCATGCTGAAGGAAGATGAGAACTTTGTTTGTTATTTCTATGACACCAAGGTAGGAGGAACCAGTGGCTCCCAGACCTCTGGACCACACACAGGGGACCAACGCTTTCCAGTAGCGAGGACGGGCATTTGAAAAGCAAAATAAGACACAATCCTACTGCCAATCTGCTATCACCTTCATTTCATAAGAGTACTTTAACACCCCCAAATAAGGACACCCGCAGTTCCTGTTTTCCCTGAAGATGAGTGAACGCTTGGTCCCAGGCTTACAGAGCAGTTAACTGGAAACCCCTGACATCCATCACTTCGTGGGGGCAAATGCACACTAAAGAGGTTTCTTCTTCAGAGTTTCTACGATTTAATGTTTTTATCTGGATTCCTAAAATTTGGTCAATTTGGTTTCTCCAAATAAGAAACCAAAATTAGTGACAAGCTAAGTGTGTCCCACACATGGAGGCCTCTCCCTGGGACAAGGTCATAACACACATCTGGAGCACCGGGGTCACCTCCGACCCAGCCCACCCTCCACATCCCCTCCCTCCCTTCCACATCCCCGCCCCCATCGGTACTGCTGCCGCAGAAGCTCTGCTTTCAGTAACGGGATGCCATCCCCCTCCTTCTCACACACCTGCACGTTCTGGCTTGCCTCCAGGACACAGGACAAATGACAAGAGTTTTGGGGGTAGAATTCAGAGCCCTCTGTCACCTGACCCCACCTTTCAAACCCCGCTACAGGGAGTACCGTTACCGCATCTCGGGGCACTGGGGACAGACTGCACCTCTGCCCTTGCATTCCACCCACTCTGGCTTTCATCTGGTGCCGCTTCGGGGCTTGCGCCGGGCTCTCCTGAACACCTGGGATCCCCCGCCCCAGGGGGCACCTGGCCAGCTGCTCCTGTCCCTGTGACAGTCCGCTACCCTGTCTCTTCCTTAAGAGCGAGCTGGACAGCCAGCGTCAGGCACAGCATCTCTCTCTACAGAGACTCCCCGCATGCTTGCTGAACACCCTCCTGTTACAAGACAGGAGGCTCCCAGGACGGGTCCCGCCTGGTCACCACCATGCGCCCAGGGCCGCAGGCCCCGCACCCTCCTCCACGCTGCCGTGTCACATGTGACCCTCTCTCTCAAGGCCCGTCTTCCCTGTACCCACAGCCAGTGATGCCCACAGCGCCTCCCTCGTGCCAGGCATCGCACTGCGCCCATTCCATCTACGTGTGACTCTCACCCACTCCTCACAACAGCCCGCCCGCTTCACAGATGAGGATACCAAGGCTCGGCTTCGTTAATGGTCTGAGGCTGCACAGCTAGCAGGTGGCAGAGCCAGGCTCCAGACCCAGCTCTTCCAGGCCCCGGGGGCTTCTGCTCTCCCCCCAGGTCTGCTCTGTGGATGTGCAACTTTCCTGGCTCCCTACTGAGGACCAGAAACACCTGCAGGGTCGATGGGCTTCCCTGGCCCAGGAGGAACAGCCGTTGCGGACGACGCACCACGTGACACAAACGCTGAGCGGAAAAGCGCTCCTCTGATCCCGTGGATGAACCAGAAAACAGGCAGCAGTTCCCCAGCCACCAGTCACCCCTGGGGACAGGACAGGCTCCTGGGGAGTCGCTGGGGCTCTCCCCAACCCAGGTAGGATTCTAGCGGGCAGATAACTCAGCCTCTCGGGAAAGAAAGGCATCTCTGCCATGAAATGAAGACAGCCTTCCTAGAATGAGTGGAGACCTAAGCATACCTGTGATCTTGTCTCGTAATCCATCACAGAGTCCCGACGTTTGTGCTCTCTTTCCTTTGCAAAAGCCACTTTCTCCATCAGAGGAAGGGAAAGATCCCGCTGATGAAACCCTGGAAGACAACAGGCGTCATGAGGGAACAAGGCACAGTCAACCTGGCACGCGCACTGGGGAGCAGTCGGAGGAGGACCTACTGCTCCTGGGGCTCCGGGCGTACGGCCAGCGGGCCCGGGACTCCAGGTCCCTGCCTCTGCCCTTCCGGTGCTCCCGCTCGTGGGCTCGCTCCCAGTCTCGGTCCCAGTCTCGGTCCCAGTCCCGGTCCCAGTCCCGGTCACCTGAGGAAGCAGACATTTCAGGAGCTGACCACGTGTCCTGACACGAGTGCGCTCACTTCACGTGCACATACCCCTCTGGAAGGGATGCTAGGAGACGGATCCTGAACAGGGGTCCCAAGTGCAACCCGACACCCGGGCCCCGGACCACTGTTTCTGGGGGCCTCGCCTAGGTGGGCCTGGTCTCAGTCAGGGCTAACACTGAGCTGAGGAGTTGGTTCCCCCTTCAGGTTCTCCTGGTCTCCCAACTCCCACGTGGTCAGGTCCACATTCGGGAAAATGGACTTCAGACCCTCCACCGCCTCGCTTACCCCAGTCAGTCTTAATGTGCACGTAACTTTACCCCAAAGAAATGAAACACCCACCTGCCCCAAAAGCAACGCTCCTTCAAAAAGTTCACCGAAGAACCTTTAACAAATAAAACAGCTTTGGAGGCAAAGGGGTGATGAACTCTGCCCCTCCTGGGAGGCTGTGGACACAACCTGAAACAGCCTACTGCAAAATTCACATAGCTTTAAACATTTTCTCTCATCATTAAGAGAAACAGCTGTATTTCACGCCACACACGTGTCTGCTTCGACGTAAGAACGACTCCTTCCATCCTCACTGATTTCCTTCCCCCTCAGACCTCTGAGCAGCAGCCCTGCCCCAGGGAAGTCCTGCGCGGCCTGGATGGCGCGGTGACCGGGCTACTCACTGCAGCAGGCGGAGTGTGGCGGCGGGGCCTCTGCTGCCTTCCGGCTCATGCTGCCTTCGCTGTGGGCGTCACTGCTGGTGTCGTCTAAGAGGGCACCACACACGACTTAAGGTCTTGTCCGTGCTCGCCAGTCCCCTCTAAGTAGCCCCCCCGGCTGGCCCCCACCCCTTGCTGCAGTGGTCAGACCCTCTCGCCCCGCCCTTCCGCCCCCGCTGGGCAGGAACGAGGCTGTGACCCTCCCGATGGCAGCGCCAGGTACAACCTGCTGGGGTGCCCCCTGCCCCCGCCCCAGTTCCACAGAGCCTGGGCCAGGGCGCTGTGTGTGCAGGCTCCCTTCCAGTCAGAGGCCCACGGTCTCCTTCCCTCTCGCATCCTAACCAGGAGGGATTCTGCTCCGCGGGGACACGGGGCACCGGCTCTCATTGGGCTGTCACAGCTGGGGAGGGAGGTGCAACTGGCACGCTGTGGGCAGAAAGGCCGGGAGGCCACCTACGTCCTATGGCAGGGCAGTCCCCCACTCCCCGCGAAGAGGACGATCGGCCTAGAACATCAGGGGCACTGCGCGGGGCACCCCAGGGAGCTCCGCCTTCCTCTCCCGCTCACCTTCCGGTTCGTACATCTCCTTGTAATTTTCCAGCAGAGTAACGAGCTTCTCGCAGTTCTCTGGCTTTTTTGCACGCACCCAAGGCTTGATCTTTTCTGGAAGGATGGTCAGGTACTGCTCGAGGACCAAGAGCTCGATAATCTCCTCCTTGGTGCGAGTCTCCGGCTGCAACCAATCGAGGCAGAGGTTTCGGAGTTTGAGCAGGGTCTTCCGAGGCCCGACAAATTCCACGTAGAGGAAGTTCCGAAACCTCTGATGAAAGAATTCAGAGTCAGTGGCGGCTTCTCCTATGGCGGCATCCGGCTCCTGAGACAAGTCACTGTCTAGCTCACACAGATTTGGGGCCCAAGACCTCTTGGGTTTGGTGGCAGACAAGTACTTTGGAGGCAGCATCTCTCTAAGGAAAATTTTCACTGGAGGAACCCAACATGAGTCAACAGGAAAGACGCGGCAGCCTGGGACAGTCAGTACTCAGGGACCTGCGGATCGTAAGGAGACATACACATGTCCCAGAAGTCGAGGACCAGGCAGCAGTGTGGGGCTGCCCGACAAGGGCACCAACAGTGCTTTGTGAACAGGCCAAGGGCAGAAGAGAGGCATCAAACCCCAACACACAGACACATGCACAGGCAGGCGTTAAAGCACCACACACACCCGTGTGAGGAGTGAGCTCTGCTACTAACTGGTTCTGTGACCCTGGGCCACACAGCCCATGTCCTGCCATCTGTCCCCTTATCTACAAAATGGGAACAACAGACCTACACCCCTTCTAGAACTGTGAGGCTTAAATAAGCCAATACACCTAAAAGGCCTAACCACCCAGCACACAGCACATGGGGATGCCCAAGGTGCTGGCCATTACTAAAATGGGATGTCGGTATTTTTTCTTAGCAAAAACGGAAAGGGGGTCGTGAGGGGCTCAATTCTGCCATTTCTGAGCATTTCTTCCCCTAACATGGTTGTTAAAACAGCATACAACACGTGAAAGGTAGAAGACCACATAAAAATGTTACAAGTGCTCAGCTCTGGGTAATGCGATTGCAAGTGCTCTTAATAATTTCCCTGAACCCGCGCTGCTGTTAAGTTAAAATTCAACGAAATTAAAAGTTCAGCTCCTCTGTCACACCAGCTACATTCCAAGCGCCAGTGGCTACCCTACTGCACAACACGGAACATCGCCCTCGTGGGAGCAAGTTCTATTGGCCAGAGTGGCTGGACAGCATCTGAGTTTGCAGGAAAGCTCAGGACCCCTGCGTCAGCAGTGCCCACCCTTCTGAGGAGCGTCTGCCCCACAGCCCAGCCTTGGGCTCGTGCTAACACCACGTCCTCTGGGACCCTTCCCGAGACTCACTTCCTCTACTAGTGTTCCAAGCACTTGCTGCATTTAGTCTTAAATATTTGAGCTCACGTGCCTATGCCCCCACTGTAAACTCTGGTAAAGGGATGAGAGACAAACTTTTCCATCACTGGAAGAGTCAGGTATCAACACTGATAGAGCATGTTGACGATAATGTACGCAAACCCATTTTAAAATTGGTTTTAGACACAGGCATGCATTCTTACTACAGGCCTGCAGAAGCAGAGTGCAGTTTCTGGGTTAAGCTCTGCAGCACTGTTTCCAAAAGAACACCCTGGCATTTCACTTACCCTCACCTGCCCACTTTTCTACCAGCCCCTTCCCGGTATTCCCGACAAACAGGCATGGGAAGCACTGTGCGGTATATGTGGAGCTCTCTTACAGCGCTGCCTAGCACCGAGGGGGAAGGTTAAAGGAAGTACCAGTGAACCCACAGAAACCCTACACAGGTGATAAACACCTATTATTCATATCAATGGTGAGAAAGTGATCAAGCGACCATAGGACTTCTTCACACCCCTGCACATCCTCCTGCTTTTATCAATCTTTTCAAATATCTAGCTTGCCTCCACAGAACCAGCTTTCTACTTTGATAATCCTCTGTATCATTTATTTCCTTACTTGTCTTTTAGTATCTGCTCCCTCCCTTCTTAAGAAAACTTTTTAGACCAAGTATAAAAGCTGATTTTCCCTTTTCCTTTTGTTCTAACGTAACCAACTAAGGCTATATGTTTCCCTTCACCTAAACCATTTTAGTTGCATGTGGTTTCTATTATGTAGCCTTGTTATTAGTGGTCAGCCACAACTGGAGCAAGAAAGTAGGCAATACAGGAAAGAAATCTAGGTTTGGGTGAATTAACTTACCTGACAGTTTTGTACTTCTGGCTTTACTTCCAGAGAAGAACAAAACCACATGCAGCAAAAATTCTTTTTGTTTTAAAAGGAAAAACCAGTAAGTTAAAAAGAATTTTTTTTTAATGTCTAAAGAGAAAACAAAAGGTGTTTCAATTATTCAGTCTCAAAGTAGCCTTCATCATTTGGGCATGAATGCAGGGGACTCTCTCCAGACAGTGGTGGGCTCCGCTCCGCCCCGTGTAAACTGCCCTCCCACTCTCTCTGCATCATCCTCTGGAGCTTCAGCACCAACTACACAGATGCACCTCCATTCGGAGACCCTGGAGACCCTGCCACTCCCGCCCTGCCTGCCCTGCCCTCCTCGATGACAAACAGGACACTAGACAACACCCTGCTGGGCAGGGGAAAGAAAGGGCAAGCGTCCAGGCTCTGGAGAGCTGATGAGACAGCTGGGACAAGAGAACACAGTCGAGTTTACCCAACAACTGGCTAAGAGGGACTGCCGTGACAAGAGCAGGGCCCTCAAAAGCCAGCAGGCCTGTGCGGGACAGAGGGGCGGGCAGGGAGCCCAAGCCTGCTCTGTGGCATCCAATTCCAGAGAGAACTCCAGTCCCCTAGATGACAGCAGCCCCACCTCTCAGAGGCCACAGGACACCCTTGGGTATGTAAATCACCTGTTTGGGAATAGGATCCTTTCTGGAACTTCAGAACAAGTGTTCTTATCCACAGGAACAGAGTCAAAATGCCAGGGACCTGCAGACATTTTAAAGAAATACATGGACAAGTAAACATGGAAGAAATGTAAAGAGTGTCAGAGAATTCACTCTCCAAATGGCTGTGGACCAAGATAGCATTGGGAGTGAGGCCTTATATACCATATTCAAGAAAAGGCCCATTCCCATGTCATATAGACCAACCAGAGACAAGAAGCAGAAAGCTTTCAAATTTTCTTTATGAAACCAGAATAATTAAAACATCTAAGACAAAGAGAGCACTAGCAAACTGCAGACCAAACTCACTTATAAAAGCAGACATAACAGTCTTAACACTATGGCTAATGAACATCATTCTACAGAGTTTCAGCCAATTACAAGAAAATCTGGGGCATGAACAAAGAAAGATATAAAATTATCACTCTCTTATGTAAGACCGTCCACTCAGATATTGCAAATCAGTGGAAACAGACCTTATAATAGTAATAATAATTTAGTAAGAAACCCATTTATAACAGACTCCCTAAATATGGACCGACAATAACCAATTTGAAAAAATGGGAAGAACTCCATTGTAAAAATACAAAAGATTTAACAGAAGAAGACAGCACCCATAGGAACAAACTTATACATTATATGGCAATAGAAAAGGCAATAACCAGAGAGACACAGGATAATCATGGAAAATATACGGATCTAGCATATGAAAGCTCTAAATACCCCCTATACTACCTAGCGGAATTTCAAAGAATATAAATGTTGGGGAACTTCACAATGGTTCTAAAGTTGACCTGGAAGAATTTCACTTGGATCAATATTTTGAAAGTTCATACATCAAAAGGCCAACAAACCACACACAAAAAAGAAGTATCTTAATATAATCTCAGGGTTAAGAAAGTTCTTTTCTAGTATGATGCCTAAAGGCAGAAAGACGACAAAAAAGTAACAAATGATGTTCTTGTTTATACCATCAAAGCCAAAGCAATAAACCAACCACCTAAAAAAGGACCAAAAAAGACAAGAAGACTGATTCATTTAAGAATTGTAATATAAGTTTACTGTATGTACACAATTGAGTATGTAGAACTCTATGAAAGTGGCATTAAAAAATAGTAAGGAATGCATATAGATTACTTCAATAAATAATAATGGTAACAGGAGATCTAGCCAATCATTCACTTGGGGAAAGAGGTCACACCATATATGAAAATGCTAAAACTAAGATCAAAATAAATAAAAGATTAATTTTTATAATCCTGGAGCAGGGACGGGATCTTCTAACCTGACAATAAAATTGGGAAACAGGGACAACTTTGACTTTGTATACATACTTCTCTAATCGCATTAATTTTTCTTCCCACTAGGCATGTGTTTGAAGCATAAAGCACCAGTAGGTAAAAATTATACTTAAGAACTGTAAGGCTTAAAAAGTTTGATAAGGAAGCAACAATTTTGCTAAGAAAATATAAATATTTGGTAAACCTGACTCAGGAAGCAGAGGAAAATCCAGGGAAGAAATTTAAAAAGATGAAATGACCGAAGGAGCAACTTCCCATAAAATTTCCATGAGCGAAGTATTTACCATGTTATAAAAACCCTTCCAGAGCACAGAAAAGAGACGGAGGACTTCCTGCTCATTGATAATATGACCATGTGAACACCCTTAAATATCCTGTCACAAGGTAGATGCCAACTTGTATGCTGAAAATTCACCTATTCCTTTTCTCAATTCAAATTCAGGACTAGAGTCAACAAATGTGATCTCTGTTAAATGTGCTCAAGATTTTCTGACCAGGCCGACGAAACAGCCCTTGGTCTGCAAGGGCGTTGAAAAAGAAAAGATTTTTAATAGAAAAACCTGAAAAACAGTTGGACCTTACCTACTCCTTCCCACAATGGCAGAGGAAATTCATTTGAGAGTAAGAAAGGGCCTTGGGAACAGAATAATCATAAAGATAGATAACATATATGTTGTGTGAAGAAAAAACTGGAGACACATATCCTGCAAATTTTATAAAGGGCAAATTGGTTACTTATCAAAATTAAAAAATGTAATATCCTGTCCTATTAACTCTACTATGAATTTATCCCAGAGATATGTAATGACATATGTGCAAAAATATATTCATTGAAGTACTGTTATGACAATGGGCAAAATATGGTATGTTTATGATTATGAAACCTTTTAAAATAACGAGGCAATTGTAAATAAATGGATATGAGACGACCTCTAAGGTAGTTAAGTGCAAAATGGGACACACCAATGTGCACAGCATTCTAAGGAATTATAAAAACAGATGTCATTTACTTAGACGGTTTCTGGAAGGACACAGAAGAGACTGTTAATAGTGATTAATGGGCGTCCCTGGTGGCGCAGTGGTTGAGAGTTCGCCTGCCGATGCAGGGGACACGGGTTCGTGCTCTGGTCCGGGAAGATCCCACATGCCGCGGAGCGGCTGGGCCCGTGAGCCATGGCCGCTGAGCCTGCGCGTCCGGAGCCTGTGCTCCGTAACGGGAGAGGCCACAACAGTGAGAGGCCGACGTACCGCAAAAAAAAAAAAAAAAAATTGTGATTAATAGTGACTGCCCCTGGGGAAGGGAACTGGGGGCCAGGGGAGGAAGGGCGACTTAACTTTTTCATTGTATATTCCCCTTTTGTTTTTATTTTATCATGACATGTATTAACTAGTCAAAAAAATAAATTCACAGTTAAAACAAAATGATAAACAAAAGCACTGGTGGAGGTCTTTCGAGACCATGCTGCCCACTGAGTAGGTGCTGGCAGCACGACCACCTTAATGCTGAGGGGTCTCCTCCCCTCCCTGTCCACCACCCCACCCCACCCCACCCCCACCCTGGTCTGAGTCCAAGGTCACACCCTAAACTGGCCGTTTGCAGATGATATGATAGGCAATTTAGAAAACCCCCAAAAATCAACTTTGAAACTCCTCAGACCCAAGAAGTACTTAGGGAAACTGCAGCTCCAAGCTGAAACAGCACTCACAACTCTAGCAACTATTAGTACATAAATGCAATGCCATTCGCTATCCTGGCGATTCCACTTCTGAACTTGAACTGACAGACCTATGTGCCCATGAGCACAGACACAGTTCTCAAGGGTGTTCACAGAAGCACTGTTTACAACAGTGAAGAACAGGGACAGGCAGGAGAATGCTCGAGCAGATTCAATGGCAGAGACCACTGACGGCTACGCAGCAGACATGAAAATAAAAACGGTACACATTTTCCACGCTATAAAAACTAATCAGAATAAAAGCAAACCAGAAAAGGAGGGGGAAAAATATTTTGCAGCATAGATGACAGTTAATAGGTCTTAGAAAGCAGTGAGAAAAAAGTAAGTGGCTCCTCATGAAAATAAAGGACATTAATACACAGCTCCTAAAATCAGTGACAGGAGCCAACATCTGTATCAGAAATCAAAGAAATGTAAAATATTACGGTGAACACGTTTTACGCTTACCAAATGGGCAACTATTTCAAAATAAAAATCAGTGTTGGTGGGAAGCTGGCTGGTACAAGTGTGAATCCTATTTCTGGATATCATTTTGGCATATATCTAAAAAACATTAAAAATACCTATTCCTTTTGAAACAGCAAGTCTCCACTTAAGGACAAAGACAGTCAAGTAGATAAAAATATAAGTTAAAAAAGAAAAAAGCTACAAAGTCAGCTGCCCACCACCACTAAGTCCTTGTATGTACATCTACTCTCAAATATGTTGCAGGAGTGATGGCAGGTGACATAACGTCACCCAAGGAGCACATCCGGGAACATGCTATTATGCAATGGCGGCCCTAACACAGGGCAGATCCCTGCACAGCAACCAGAGGCAAAGCAGGGAAAGGAAGCACGGGTCAATGTTCTCCTACAGGCTTACCTGACTGCAGGTGGCCCCTCAGGAGGAGCCGAGTGACCCAGCCTTCAGCCCCGACTCACCCTGTCCTCCGCTGGCAGCCCAAAGGGCACCCAGGAATGAGGCCATTGCTGAGTTACCACCTGCCAGGACCCCATACTCACCTCACCCTTTGGAAGACCCAGGTGAACTCCTCCTGTGACAGCGACTCTGGCCAATCGAAAGCATAACTGCTCTTCCCACTTCGCCCCCACTTCCCCAGTCCAGCTCCTGCCTCCATGGCAACAGCCATGCCTACCACTGAAGAGGACAGAAGATACGTGTCGGGTGTGGCTGAGAGGAAGAAAGCATCAGGGAAGAGTCATCCACGGGCTTGCCTGGCATGACCAAAGGCAGTGTTGAGGCCGAGGGGGATGCCTGTCCAAGGACGGCCCAGAAAGGCCATCACAGAATCAAGATGTGCTGGGGGACGCACAGCCCAACAGAGAAAGGGAGCACCTGTACTTATGCCAGGCCTCAAAGTCCCTGAGGCAAGGACTACATCGCCTTTCTCATCACTGTATTGTTACCTTCACAGGACTGGCACGTAGAGGGTGTTCAACAAACTGTGTTTGGGTTTTTTTCTACTTAGATGCAAAAACATTTAAATCCAATCTAGAAAAGTCTAAATAGTAGCCCTTGACCATGAAAGGTTATTCCAGGAATACAAGGATGATATCCCATTAGGGTAGGCTGTTATATAAGGGATTAGAGGGGGAAGGGGATTCCATGAGCATTGTTGCACATTACAAAGCATCTGCAAACTTCAACCTTTCCTTGTATGTCCCTAGCAAAGAGTAAGACTAGGAGACCATCTAAACACAATAAAGACTTATCTCAAGTGCAAGCAAGCATTAAACACTAAAGGTAGGGAAGCCCTCCACCATACCCACCATTCAGCACTATTTTGGAAGTCCTAGCTAATGCAACTGATAAAAAAGAAGTGAAAGGTATAAATGTGGAAAAAGCATTATTTTGAATTCAAAAACCTTGGCAGTTAATACAGCAAGAAAAAAAATTCCAGGAATAGCAAAATAAATAAACCAATTCTCATTAATAAATTCAGTGACGTATTTGCAACTCCAAATAAAATTTTTTTAATGTACAGAAGGACACAGAGCAGGTCCTAAATAAATGAAGACATGTTTTTGCACAGGACCATGAAAATTGTTGTCAATCCTCCCTTGAATATAAGTTAAAATCCAATAAAATGTGGGAGTTTTGACAAACTGAGAATCCAGTTTCTCCAGAAGACTAAATGTACAGAAATATCAAGACAATTCTGAACAAGAAGGTATGTGTGCAGCAAGGGTGGGGGATTGTCTGTAAAGTGACCCAAACATATAAGAACACGAAGTATTCTTTCCAACACAAGGATGGGGGTGCAATGATAAATACACTGATGGAACAAAATACACACCAGAATCTGACTCGTGTGAAAGTATATACACATGTGGGAATTTAGTTTATAGTAAAGAAAGACTTTTAAATCAAGAAAAGCATTAACTGTTTAAATACGAACTAGGAACTTCCTTAGGAGTAAATGATAAAGGGTCTTTTTAAGGAAAGTGGCAAGAAAAATCAGCCAACACTTCCATTTCTGACCAGCTATTCGAGTATGGATGTCTAAGAAGGTTGGAGCAGGCCTCTGTCTGACATTAGGAAAGACCAATAGCATCAGTGCCAGTGTCTGGCCTCTCCTCCAAGAAATTCGGTATTTCATCTCTAGAAGGCAAAGGCCACTAAGGCCAATGACAAACATACTTTGTTTTCAGAAAAATAAATCATTGCCTTCAAAAGACACCATTCCTCCAAAATTTCATCATGCAAGAAGAAATGAAAACAGATAGAATCTTTAAGAAAATGTCATGTAACATTAAGTCATGTTGCCAAGAAACTTTGTAGCTTTATTTTCTGATTACAAACATAGAAGACAGCACAACATTCAAACATTACAGATTATCCAACGTAGAAATTGCAAGCCACATCCAGTGATCACATTTGTTCCTATACTAAACCTTTTAAAGTCTGTACATATAACATCTTATTTTTACCAAAATGAGATCATACCAGGAGTTCTGTGTGTATTTTTAAACCCAGTAATTTTTGATAGACATCTTTTCAACCAGTACATATAGATTTATATCATTTTTTCTAAAGGCCACATAGTCTTCCATTCTATGGATATACCAGTTTATCTACACTTGATGGAAATGACCAATGTAAAAAATGTTTAAAGCATTAAATGAAAATACAAGGGCATAAAATTATACAGCATATGTGGCATTCTTACCGCAAATATACTCATTTATATGTACACAGAAAACAATGAGGATGTCCACACAATGGAATAAAATGAAGTTTTAGAAATCAAAGCTGCAGATGGAGATCTATTTATACAGAAGTTATTGTAGATGTTGTTAAATAGCTGCACAATATTACGTTCACACACACAGAAACATGCATATAATGGAGACTGTAAACGTGATGGGCACGTGATACGAGCTCGCCAGGTGGCACACCAGGCACTCCCCCACAACCAAATATTACTGCCTAACACCCCACATACTTTACTCTGGTAGCCTGAGTTTGAAGTGTTAGTGAATTGGGCATGATCTCATTTACGTAAAAAAACCCCAAAAAACAAAAAACTACATAGGTACTTAAACGTATGGAAGTACATACAAAACCAAACCGGAAGAAAACTTCCATAAAAACTTGTATGAAGACCATGCGTAAAGCGGGGAAAATCGAAAAAATAAATGATTAATAAAAGATACTTCATTTTGCATTTCAACTTAGAATGTTATTTTAAGTTCACCATCAGAAAAAAATACCTGAATATAAATTTGGAAGTTCAGCTGCTGTCTGTCTGTCCTCTCCTCTGCGCCAGTCACTGAGCATTGGCACCCCCTCCCCTGCGTGGCTCCCCCTCTCTCCGACCACCCACAGTGCTCCCGTGGAGTCCTCCACTCCCCACACACCCTTTGGGCCAGAACACCACTGCTGGGGCGCCACACCTAGACCCTGACCTCACTGCCAGCTGTCCTCTCAGTCTCACTGTTCACACTCAATTCTGGCCACGTGGCAAACCCATCAGCTTTGTTTCCGGGCCTGGAGGTGGGCTCTCACACACCCTAGTTACTGAAGCTCCCACATCTCCCTCCGCACTCTCTCTGCAGCAGGAGTCCCAGCATGAGTCAAGTAGTACCCAAGGGCAGGATTTTAAAAGCCAAAGGTCTGACCACATTCAGAGGATGGGGGCGAAGATGGGGACACACAGGGACCCAGCCTGACTCTGGTCGTAGGGGCCAAGGGAGGCCACTAACTCCAAGGAGAGGGAAGGAGAGGAGACAAACAAGGACAACTGGTCAGAAAAAGGTCTTACCCTCCACACCGGGCAGAGGAGCTTACGGGGTTCCAGCTGTTCTTCAACCA